TATGGATAAACTTGGTAGGTTCTCATTTCACACAAAGATTGCCCATGACCCAAGGGTGTGTCATGACCTTGACCCAAGGTCATTTGGGGAAGTTCATGGTCAGTGGAAGTAAAATTTCATAATTCGTGTTTGATACATATCTTTATTATGGAAAAACTTACCTCTGGAAAACCCAGCAGAGGGTATTTTGTCCCGTTTGGACAGTTCTAGTTTTTTTTTACAGTTAGCCCCCCCACTTTCAATTTGCTTCCGACGCCAATGGTTTATATATTTTGGTTAACCTTTTATGCAGAAAAATTAATGCATACTGATGAAATTACTACTAACAAAATTAAAAATATTTCGATACAATTTGTATTTAGTTGTATACAGGTGAAACCAGAAGGGGACTATGCCATATACTCTTAAAGCGCTTGCGTAATTTGACAGAAACCCCTGTCACGTGACCTCAGCAATGCTTGCTTGGATAATAAAGTTCTCCTAATCACCATTGATTAGTCTGCCTTGTATTGAGTTTTGTAATGAGAAGATTACTGACATCAAAGCATCCAATCTTTATGTCTTAAGGAAGAAAAATTAGTTTTTATAAAGTCTGTATGAAGGCCAATATATACTACGATCCATCTAGAGGTGCTGATGTTCTGAAGAAAGGATGTTATATGAAGCCCCACCCCTCTTTAGCGCAATGGTTAGAGCATTTGCACCAGAATTGCAATAAAAGAGTAGATCCTATAACGTCACAGTTTCGAAATCCACTTTGGGACCTGTGTCTTGTGTAGCGGAAAGTGTTGGCTTGATAAAAGATTCCACACTGCTTAAAGATCTAACACTGCTTAAAGATCTAATACTGCCTAAAGATCCAACACTGCTTAAAATATTTCAACACTGCTTAAAGATCCCACACTACTTAAGAATCCCATACTGCTTAAAGATGCCACACTGCCTAAATTGTCACATTACTTAAAGATTCCACACTGCTTTAGGATCCCATACTGCTTAAAGATTCCACATTGCTTAAAGATCCCATGTTGCTTAAAGATCCCACAATGCTTAAAGATCCCACACTACTTAAAGATGCCACAGTACTTAAAGATACCACACTACTTAAAGATGCCACATCAATTAAATATCCCACACTACTTAAATATCCCACACTGTTTAAAGCTCTCACACTGCTTAAAGATCCCACACTGCTTAAAGATCTCACACTGTTTAAAGATCTAGCACTGCTAAAAGATCCTACGCTGTTAAAAGATCCCACACTACTTACTGCTTAAAGATGCCACACTACTTAAACATCCCATACTGCTTAAAGATCATACACTGCTTAAGGATCCCAAACTGCTTACTGATTAAGGATCCCCAACTGCTTACTGCTTAAAGATTCCACACTACTTAAACATCCCGTTGTGCTTTAAAATGCCACACTGCTTTAAGATCCCACACTGCTTACTGCTTAAAGATCCCACAATGCTTAAAGATTCTACACTGCTTAATGATCCTACACTGCTTAAAGATCCCACACTACTTCTCAAGTGTCCACATTATCACACCTTAATCGGCGGCATTGTATTAATTTATTAAAAAATACTCTTTAAAGAAACGTTAAAAAACAAATAAACAAACGTGAGACTGACTCCAGAAAAACAGTGCTTGACCTGAATAACATGTGAATAAAGTCTATTGTGATTTTATAAACTTAACTTTTAAAGTGCAATTGTGTTTCGGCGAACAAAAAAAGTTAAATTACCAAAATTGTGTCGAAATATTATCGAACTCTTGTATGCTATTTTCAAAACGCATCTGTTGAGAAACCAATCGAAAGCGATTGATCAGACAAACGAATGACATCCTGATTTATCCAAGATACAATGCTCACAGGAGGAGAAGTAAATCAATAGCTAATGTATAAATATTTCTATCAGCACAGCAGAGGGAAGCTTAAAGGGGCTTGGTGGCTGTGGCCATTTTTAGACTATATTGACCTCCTTTAGAAGAAGAGCTCCATATAAAGATATACAAAAATGATCAAATTTTAAAACTATTTAAATATATGAAATTTTTCTTTGTCAATTGATACTAGTAGTTGTCATCTCTAAAAAAAAAAAATAAGTTATATCTGATGGCTATGTTTGACCCACAGCCTCCTTAAACTTTGATATTATAATTCCGTCTCTAAGTTAAGGATGACGTTTACTCAGGTTTAAGAAAGGAAATTTTATAAAGTATAATATGTTCAACCAAAAATTGTTCTAACTGGGTAAAATGAACGTATTTAACTCAATTTCAATTAAAAAAAAATTATATTTTATCATTCGAACAAAATTAACAGGAACAAAAAATCAATTTATGGTAATGCAGAGGAAATTCGGACTAATTTTTAAAAAATTCTTACAATGTTAATTACAATGTAAAATTTATATGAGTTTTTAAACATTATTTTGTATATACTATACATGTATGTTTTAAAGCTTATAAATTATATCAAATAATTGAATGGTATGAAATTCAAAAATATGAACAAAAACAATTCAAGACAATATATCGGAATAATTTGATCATTGACCCATATGATATAATTACCATGAAGATTAGGGCAACAAAAGTAACCCGAGGCTATAAAAAATTTAAAGTTCATATCATTCAGATTTTTTTAACATTCGATTAAAATGGGAAAAATATAAAAATGACAGAGGAAATTCGGACTGTAATAATTATTAAATTTATGGCCCAAACTCTAATCGTTTCTTTATATGAAGCAACGCTGTTCCAATGCTATAATATTTCATTTAAATATTTAAAGAGTTGTGTTGCTTGTAATATTTTTGTGAGTAAGGAAAAAAATTGGTCATCATGTGAAAAAATGAGGTATATTCCGCGAAATACTCAGGGGCCACTAGCATGAAAAGTAGGACATTGACCTAGTTATTTGAAATTGAGATTTAACACAAGAATCATAGTTGTAAAATGTGCAATAGGTGGTTTTTCATTCTTACCAGTGGAATTTTTTAGACATCTGAGTAAAGATATACCTTAAGGCCATTCCAAGTCTGTTCTATGTTCGAGGTCCGCTTTTAAATGCATCTTAGACACAGAATATCAAAATGCAAACAAAATCAAGAGTTCTAAAATTGATTTTTTTTGTGGAAATGCTTTGTTTGTATTATTTTCTTTAAAGAGTTGCATTTGGAAAAGAAGCATTCTATACCTTAGGTTTAATTTACAATTAATCTAATATGAAGAAAAATAAGTTAATGAAATAAAAACCTTGAAATGGGATTTTTTTTAATGATTATTAAATCGTTGTATTATTTTGGGGGCTAAAGTGCTATTGGCTCATACGAAAATGGATTTTTAAAAAAATGACTAGACATTTAAGGAAATAACACTATGATGGCCTTCCATGGGAAAAATACCAATGGAAAGACAAAAGAGATAATCTGGGCTATTTACATGCACGATATTCATACTATTTTATTAAAAAATATAATTTTATATTAATTGACGATGGAATTTAGTTTTTCCTGCCACAATATCGATAAACCGATGTTACGTAATTGATAGCTTTTGTGAAGGACTATCAATAAATCAGCATAGTCTGCTGTGTACAAAAAAAGTGCGGAAACAAAAGGAAAAAAATCCTGATTCTAATGATGGCAGTAAAAGTGCCTTTCCAATTCGTGTTAATGGCTCTATATTGAATTTCTCCCCGGAATAGGAAGCGTCCGATCGACCCAGAGATCGCCGTCAGTTAAACGCTTTATGTAACAGTGGAAGCAGCGAAGATTAGCCGCTCTATAAATTATGAATAAATTTCTGTGTTCGTGTTAATGTCTTATTGATTCGGTGTCAAATCTGTGTTTTGTTGAATTTTTCATATATAGGATTTACATTAAGATTTTTTTTTAAATGCTGAATAGAAACGCGGAGATTTTTGGATCGTGTTTCATTTGAGAGATCCAAAACTGATCAAGTGCACGGAAAAGCAGATTACTGTGTAATAAAAGCATTTCTATAACTAATGTCTGTAAAGACAGTATATGGCATCAATCCCAATGCAATTTACACCATGTCTGTTTCGCACAATGACAAACTAATGCTCACACACAAAAGCAAACTCTACTGGAAGGTGATAACCAAATTTTGTAGCTATAGCTTACAGTATTTTCAGTCTGCTTCAACGTTCTATGGAAAGAAATTGTTCGGGTCTTGCTGCCTAGGATGATTGGACGAAAACGTTCCTCACAAGAGGGTGCATAGATTCACAAACAATATCTGTGTTATTTTTTAAAGTAGAAACAATCTCAAATGTACACATAAAATACAATTTAATGAAAAGGCAATATATACGACTCCTGTACATCTGGGAAATTGAGGATCACTCGGGGAATCATTATCAAAGCTGACGTTGTATCTTTTGATCAGGATATGCTAGGGATTTGGTGACTTGTGCACATATATTTATGGCATGATAAGTGAAAGTTAAAAGACCTTTCCATTCATTTGAAAGTTTAAAAGGATAATTTTTTGTTTGGTGTTCTTCAATTTGATAACCAGAGGTACTGATTACTGAATCAGATTTGAAACGTTTAAAGAATATCCTAAAACCCTGGTGTGTATGGTTTTCAGTAATGCTGTAAATGTCTGAAATGATATCATCCATAATTAATGAGTTGTAATCAAATGTTAATTGATTAACAGACACATTTTCAGTATACCGCCCAGGAGAAATTTAACCGGGTGATTCTCATTAATATTTCATTCTCTGGGAGTTTACCTTTGGACAATAGTCTTATTATACAATGTATACATTGTAACAAAATGATTGCAGATTCCCAGAGATGTTATATATAAGGTCATTGTCCAGAGATCGCCGCTGCTGCGTGGTACATGTACAGTTTACCTCTTACCGAGAGAAGTAAATTGTAATATAGACTTATAAAAACTCCGGGTTATTTCAGTACTCCGACCACCGGGCCGCTTAAGTCAACACAGTAAGGTGGCGCGCGAGGCCGGATATGTCAATAATAATCTCTCCGGTGTCTTGACATTTGGTCCTATATATCGGGAAGTTTGTTGATTCTCTGCATTTCTAGCCTTTGACAGAGTTAGATATTCAAATATAACCATTCTGTTTTCCCTATTGATCTGCTGACAGCCTATTGACTTTGTATAAATATTCCTGTTTTATTATGCTATATATATTCCCGCTGTTCATTGCTTCAGTCAGTTTCCTCAGCTGTGGGAGCGCGGATATTTTTTTTCTTTCCGGCGGAATCTTTTCAGCTGTCAATGACAGTCTTCTTTTGACAGCCTCGTTTTGGAATTGACAGCAGACGGAATAGATCTATTTCACAGGGAAGTCAACGGCAAAGCGAGACAGAATCAGAATTCACGAGATTTCTAGGAAAGTTGTAGCAAGGATATTAAGTTTTTATCCGTCAAAGAGTTTTATTAATTCTTGGAAAATAATAAAAATTTCTAAATGTAAATGTTATCGATAAGAACTTTTGTTCCCGAATTAATGGATGAATAGAAATTGTCAGGATAATGAAAGATAGTGTAAAGGGACTTAACTCTCAGCATGCAGGCTTGAAGTGAGCTCTAATGGAACAAACAACTGTAATGTCGAAGGAATAATTCGCATTATTTTCTTGTCACCTGGAAATGAAAAACATCGATTTTGTAGTTTCAATTTACCTTCAAATACAAACCTATCATCTTATAAAGCTCGGGTACCGTGTATCTGTTTAAGAACTGTCTGGTGGTAAACCTCGGGTATGGACCGGATATCAGTGAACAGATTCTCCTTCCGCCGGAAGGGAAGCCATAAAAAGAATAAGGAGGAGCAGGCCGAACCCGAGTTTGATTACACAAAACTTTCGTATATCAGGTAGGGGGATACGTCCTTCCTGTTTTTTTTATTTATCGGTAAAGCTCGTTCCCTCTTAAAGAAATATCATTTTAATCAATGATGAACGGCAGTTTGTACTATACATTAATCTACTTTTAATAGCAGTACGTCTTTTGTAATGTTTGGTGATAGTAGTTACTTTAATATTTATTTATTAAATTTTGTAATATATGAACAAAAAAATAATTTATTTAAATGTTTTAAGAATCTGAAAGAATTACGAGAGAGAAAGAGAGAGAGAGAAAGAGAGAGAGAGAAAGAGAGAGAGAGAGAGAGAGAGAGAGAGAGAGAGAGAGAGAGAGAGAGAGAGAGAATTCGATAACGAATCTATTAGTAAATTGAAACTGAAAATCATTCCTAAGAGAATTTGCATATACTGGCCAGGAAATTTCTATCATAATTGATTTTTGATTTCGAAATCAAACTGTGACATCATTTTGTGTTACATGTACCTGTAGATAAAACCGTAGCATTGTTGGGTGCAAGATGGTAAAGTAACTACGAGGCAGTTTTCCTACACTCTAAAAAAAGTTTTACTTGTTGTTTTTAAAATAAGATATTAAATTAAGAAAAACTAGTAATTATTAGTAATCATTTAGTCAGAATAGCAAGTAAATGACTATCATGGTTAGTAATTGTAAAAAAAAAAAGTAATTGTAAACATAATTAGTAATAAGGATGAATTCATTTACTTATAAAATGATTTACTAAGTATCAATAGAATTACTTAAATTATAGGAATTGTATTACTTTAAGGTAGTAAATGAACTACTCATTTTTGTTTAATTATTATTACTTAATTTAGAGATAATATGCTTTCTATTTACTAAATTTTATGAATTATTACTAAGTAAATGTAATTCTGAAATTAATTAAAGTCTAGAATATTATTACTCAAAAGAATAGTAAGTAAATGAAATACTAATCATATTTACTAAAATCGACATTATTTACTAGAAACACTGCAAGGTACCGACCCTCTGACATGTGAGTACTACTCACAGATTTCTTTATCAGAGTTCCCTAATTTGGCCCTCTGAATAGTTTAATAGAAGAAATATACTTCAGATGGAAACAATTATACTTTTTATTTCTTTTGCCAATTTCTTTGTAATTCTTTTATTATATATAACAATAAAACATTTAATTCCAACTTCGAAAGCCTTAAAAATTGAATAAGTTGTATCTTTTTAAGGACCATTTTAAAAATGGTTAAACATTTCAAGTACTTAGTATCGCATTTTTATTAGTGTGCCTTTTTTTTCACATGAAGGAATATTTAGAAGAACGATAACTCCACCTCACAAACAATTAGTGATTAGACTACCATATTTAAGTAATTTCTGATCTGAATTCGCCTTGATTTAGTATATAAATTTTTGTTTTAAGTAAATGAATTAAATACAATTCAAACAAGATGTGTTTGTGAAACACCTATGCCCCTGTATGGCAACATAGCAAAGGTTAAACTTTTCTTATATGCAAATTTAAATTATTGGGATTTCTTGATATCTCCAAGGTCAAAAGGTCATGGTTATTGGTATATAATGAAAGGTCTTGCCACAAAAAAATACATATGTGAAATATGGAAACACTTGCCTCAACCCTTCAGAAGTTATGGTCAAGGTTACCAATTTTGAAATGTAGGTCAAACTCCAAGGTCAAGGACAAAGGGACAGATTTGGTGGTACCCAAAGAAAGGTCTTGTCACAAGGGTGAACTATGTAAAGTATGAATGCACTAACCCTAATCCTTTTAAAGTTACAGTCAAAATTTGCTTTTTAAAAGTGGGTCAAACTCCAGTGTCAAGGTCAAAGGGTCAGAGTTGGTATCCAATGAATGGTCTTCTTAAAATGATTACATATATGTAAGTATGAAAGCACTATTCCTTACTGTTCAAACTTTATGGCCAAGGTTAAAGTTTTTTTTACAAGGATGGAAATCTCCAAGGTCAAGGTCAAAATTTCATAGTTGTTGGTATTCAATGAAAGTTCTTTCAACAAAAAATATATATGTGAAGTATAAATGTCCTGGTATTTACTGTTCAAAAGATTTGGATAAAAAATAATTTTGGATTTTTTGTGTATAAGTGAGTCAAACTTCAAGGTCAAGGTCAAATTTGGTGATACCCAAAGAAAGGTCTTGTCACAAGGAATACACGTGTGAAATATGAAAGTCATAGCTCCGCTAAATCAAAAGTTATGGGAAAGGTAAAAGTTTCTGCGGATAAACAGACAAACAGAGAGACAGCTAGACAGACAGCTAGATAGACAGACGGACACGACAAAAACTATATACTCCCGAAACTTCGTTTACGGGGGCATAAGAATATTAATTATATAGTAAATAGTGGTAAAATGTAAGTAAAGACCAAGTAATGTTATTACTTATAAACACAAATTTAAGTAAATATAAATTACTAAGTAAAACTGTTTAGTGTGTAAGTAATACAATTCTTAAAAATACAAAAATCAAGTTAAACATTTGAATTTAGTAATTGACATATATTTCAGTAATTGATTTTAAATTTTAAGTAAATGCTTAGTAATTATCTATTACTTATCTTTGTTATTTCAAGTAAAAAATGACTACTAAGTAAAACTTTTTAAGAGTGTAGGGTTATATTATGGAGATACTGAACAGAAATAAAGCTTAAAAATACAATAAAATAATACAAAATCGAGAAAAGATCTATAGTAAATAACGACCCTAAAACATCACAGATGGAATCAGGGCTTTAGAGAAGTAACCATCCCCTGTCGTATATACATTTGTATCATACAAACTGTCACGATAGCGTTATCGTAAAGTCTTTGAATCGTGATCGGAAAAACGTGGGTTCGCGCCCAAGCTGCCAAAAACCAAACTCGAATATAAGAACCAGCAAATGTACCATTTGCCAACTGTTCTGCAATTTAAAAGCAAAGTTACTGAAGAGTTTGTGGATTGGACCTTTTAATAAAGAACCTGGAAACGGATACCAGTAAACGATCTTATTAATTATCCTATCAGTTACATGTAGCAAGTCGTTTTGTTTGCCATAGTCTTTCTTCTGTAATGCGTACTTATTTTACTTAAAAGAAAGGCTTCTTGTATATTTATATGCCCATGTAATTAATCTAATTGTCGAACCTGATTTTTTACCTCTTTTGAAGATGATTTACCTTCTTACGGACCAATTTACAACTTAGACAGTGGTAACATTGTTACTAGGACGACTAATTAATTGTGTTAATTCATGATATAAAGTAAAAGAAAAAAATTTTAAAGTCCCCTTAACAAAAGATGGAACACATAATTATATGTATTGTTTAATGATTTTTTCTCACTCCTGTCGACCCCTGTTCGTTTTCATCACCTTTTCATTCCACTTCATTTAGATTAAGGAATTGTACATATCTAATTACTACTATACATGTCTGTCTTCTTCTTAAGTCAAGAGTTCCACGTATAGAAAACTATCAATAGGACATCTACAGGCAATTATTACTTATCGTCAATAAATGCATTTAACCAAAAAAGAATCTGATAAACTTTGTAAACGACATGAATCTCCTGTTCATCTTAGAGGAAATTCAGTTAGATGTCGTAAATTATTGTCGTAAATTAGTACAAACACGACTTTCGGCACTCTCGGCGTCTTGTAATGAGTGGTTTTTATCCATGTAAGGATCTCAGTGAATGTAGAAAACAGATAGACTTATTGTTCTGTTGATTTGTCATTAGTGGATACTAATGGGGGAGAGGAATACATTTACAGCAGGCAATGGCGGCGATAATGAAGCCAGACAAATTCTGCTGGCTGTATCAGAGCGTCTAAATCTAATCATTTTGGTGTAATCCTGAAATGGTCGAAATATTGTAAGGCTTTCCTTTATATACTGAAAGGAAAAAGAAACGCAGGGTAAACTTTCGAGGTGATTTAAATTTGTTTTTCTTAAAATACTTTTTAGTTTTCCTATCTAACTTTAAAAATCATCTTTCAAAAAGATATAACGAAATTCTCGTATGATTTTGTCCAATTATTCATGAGTTATTGAAGCTCAAATGACGATACCCCCCAAAAGTGAAAATCGAAAACTCTCATTATCTTCAATGTCTATCTCGTGCATCTGTCAGAGTCTTATTTCTTCTTTGCATGGAATTTCACGAGAGTGTTTATCTTTCAAACCCTGGCTATATTTAGCATGGGTAACCACGCAAAAAAATAAGTCAAATGGCGCGCGCATGCGCCAGTAAGAGGAATACAACAGTAAGTTGACTGGCTCAAAAAACCAAATTGCGGAATTGTTTTCTTTCAAATTTTGTATGAATGTGATGATGATAATCGTGTACTCTATACATGGCTGTTTCTGTGGTAGTAAGGTGGCGATTTAAGAGATGGCAGGACGAATAACCCGCTTGTAACATGGCTCTGTTTCGCGTTAACGTCATCGTCACGGTTCATTGAAAACTACTCCAGACCCTCTCTGACAACGGGTAAAAAGTTTTATGGGGGAAAATTTACAAGAGACTGCTTAGTTAACCGTTGTTGCCTTTTTCATTAATTAGGCAATTCGAAAACAAGACCCCATTGAACTTCCGTAAATTGTGCCAAGATTGCAATAAATTCATAATGTCTCTTAATATTGAAAAACGATGTGCATATCTCATATCCATCAAATAATGCAACAAGATTTTTTGAGAGACTCGTCGTTATCAAATTGCACGTGCTTTTGGCTTTTTAAAGTTTTCCCTACGTGACGTCATAAATTTTACGGTTGAGTAATTCTGAATACTGATTTTGATGCACAGTAACTAAATTTCCCTTCTGACAAATTTTCGTAATTTTCGGTCATGTGATCAAATTTTTATTGAAAATTATGCTACCCTGCGTTTCTTTTTCCTTTCAGTATATGTATTTCCCAACAACTCTAGGTTCTGTGGGGTGCATCTTCAGCTTATTCAAACATTGTTCAAAAACTAGCATTAAAAATAAAATGGCAAAATTGGTCGCAGAGTAAAAATATAACGTACATATTCAGTGATGTTTTTGTTCTGTGAATGAATGGACATCTTGGTTTAAGAGTACATCGCACGCCTATTTTGTTGCCTTCTAAATAATTCATGAACATAACCATTACTGTCCTGGTTTTTGTATGGTGATTACAAGCAAGTAATAGTCTGTAGATAGAGTGTTTGGCGTGAATTCTCGATTGGCTTGCATCCGATGTTTCCTCTTCATAAAGTACACAATATGACGAGAATATTACTCCCACTTGTCTGTATATTTAGCTTTTGTTTTAATAATCACCGTGATGAAGGGCATAAAATGAGAAAAAAAACTGATAATAAATGATAGAGAGAATCGGATAATTTTCCGGATATCGAGTGTCATGGTTATTATCTGCCAATAAGAGGATTGTTAGAGGCTGATTGAAGGATTCCGGCGATAAAAAAAAAGATAGTGGAGTGCGGGGGGATATAGTCACGTGATTGTGAGTGTGTTTATGTATTTGTTCGTAACGGAAGTGACATGAATGCGCCGGGATCAAATGTTGCCTTTATTTTATACATTTCCGATTTTATTCATCTATCGTTTGACTATCTGGAGGAATGTTACTCTGTGGTTTAATACATCGTTTTTATCTAAGTTGGAATTTACGACGCAAGGTTTTCTTAATATTCTTGGAAAATCCTGCACTGAGCAAACCACTAATTACATTTTTCTCCCTAAATTTAGATACATTCTTTGACCGACCTGTTTATTTTATCCACCTTTCAACCCTTTATACATTTAGATACATTCTTTGACTTGCCTGTATATTTTATCCACCTTTCCACCTTTCAACCCTTCATACATTTAGATACATTATTTGACTTGCCTGTATATTTTATCCACCTTCCAAACCTTTATACATTTAGTCCTTTGTACAGACATAAACTCGCCCGATTTAAATTTTTTTCGTCGGATGGCAGAAAATTCAAAATAAGCGAGTTTATTGGTTTGCCTTTTTTTGAGACACGGATAAAATTATATATACCAGTATTTGTTTTTCCTTTGACGAGAGGATGCTGCGCTTTATGGTTCCCTTGTTTTATATCGACCCTTTAACAACAGCTAATTTTATTAAGTTTTATTATATAGAGCTATAACTTGTAATTTCTGTCAAATATGGCAGCGATATCCTTCTATTATTTCTTATTCTTTCTTATAGCTATAATTACAATGCTGCTGATTAGTATTTGGATGTCTTTATTTATCTCCTTTTTATACCGTGGATGCAATGAGCAAAATTAATGATTTTGTTTGTCCAGTAACAGATCGAAGACTTCATCAAAGTACCGCTATATACAAGAGTATTGAACTCGGCTTATTATTACTATAGTTAAGTTAACAGGAAATTGTGCTTATGTGTAAACCAAAACATCACATTAAATCGGAACGCGAAGAATGTTAAAAATCTTCCCGTAGTTTGTATACCCTATATATGGATGCATGTTAAATAAGTAGCTTTAGGATACCTGCAGCATTGTCCTTTGATGACAACCATCTTTGAATTACTGTACAAATATATACCTTAACACTCAGTTTCAGAATACATGTAATCTGTAAAAAACAATTACGATAACAGCCATTTTAGGAAATCTATAACATTTTCCTGTGTTAACAGCAATCTTCATGATAACTCGTGTATTTGCTCTATTTTTAAAGTTCGTCTTTAAGATAATTGAACTGTAAGTAAAATATTCCTGTTTTATTAGCAAACTTTAGGTACCTGTAAAACTTCTCTTTGTTTTTGCTCTATTTTTACAATCATTTTTGGCTAACTGTAAATTTTCTCGATCTTAAAAGTCAGGAAGAGGTTAGAAGATAATGAACAACTTTTCCTATGTTTAATAAAGCCATTTTCAAATAACTGTTCTATTTGTCCTTCGTTTACAGCAATCTTCATAACTGTTCTATTTATCCTACGTTTACAGCAATCTTCATAACTGTTCTATTTGATAATTGTTTACAACCAATTTCCATAACTGTTCTATTTGTCCTACGGTTAAAACCATCTTCATAACTGTTCTATTTGTCCTACGTTTACAGCAATCTTCATAACTGTTCTATTTGGCCTACGTTTACAGCAATCTTCATAACTGTTCTAAGTGATCATTGTTTACAACCATCTCCATAACTGTTCTATTTGTCCTACCGTTAAAACCATCTTCATAACTGTTCTATTTGTCCTACGTTTACAGCAATCTTCATAACTGTTCTGTTTGTTCTATGTTTACAGCAATCTTCATATCTGTTTTATTTGATCTATGTTTACAGCAATCTTCAAATCTGTTCTATTTGTTCTATGTTTACAGCAATCTTCATATCTGTTCTATTTGTTCTTTGTTTACAGTCATTTTAAAATCTGTTCTATTTGTTCTTTGTTTACAGGTCATCTTTAGGGTGCCTGTAATTTTCGGTCTGTTAACAGCAAATTTTAGGATAACTGTGAATTTCCTCTCTGTTTACAGCCAAGAAGAGGCTCAGAAGATTGATGAGGAACTATTTACAGAATACGCCTTCTCTGTGGAACAGTTAATGGAGCTCGCCGGATATAGCTGCGCTGTCGCCATAGCAAAGGTAGACAAATATGACATATAGATATGTGGATATTCCTACTGAACAAAATAAGTTTAGCAATTATAGATATTTAATATATCACATAGCAAAAATATAGACACAACATTTATAATGACATTGAAATGTGGAGATTGTCATCCCATTGCCAATAAAAAGCGAATTTTATCGACTGCCTTGTTCTGTATCGTCAGAACTATAGAGAGAAACTGATAAGTTATAGGATCGTAAAAACACATTTCATTTCAATATTTCTATGGCACCATTTGCCGCAATAACAGCAAATCAGCGGCGTCTCCTGCTCCTTATAAGGTTTCGTATCTCAATCATGGTGATCTGGTTCTGTCTGCGGGGTAAGAGTCAGCTTCACTGTTAACTTTATATCGATTGTTTTTGTTTGCTGTTTCACGTCATGTTGAGAATCTTTCATTCATTTTATGTTTATTACAGTGCTACCCCCTAGAGAAGATGACCCGAGATAACGGGGCGGTACTGGTGTGTTGTGGGCCGGGCAATAATGGCGGGGACGGACTCGTGTGTGCCAGGCACCTCAAACTCTTTGTAAGTAGGCTGTTTGTGAAAGACACCTCAACTTGTTTGTCTGTCTACTCTGTGTGAGAGACACCTCTCAAAATGTTTGAAATACTTAGTAGCATGTACTTTTTTTCGACTAAGTAAGACATATTATGCTTTTCCCCACCAATCGTGAATAAGTATCTTAGTCTTCAGGCTCATTGGAGGTACATGTAGGAAATATGATTCCTAGACTCCTGCAGTGTTTAAGCATAAAAAAAAAGAAAACAAAATGTGTATGTGAAACACTGATGCCGCTGATTTTTTGCTTATCACGAAGATTGACGTTTTTCATTTGCAAAGTCAACGTCAAAAGGCCAAAATTATTGGTATCCAAAAAAAGTCTTGTCACAGAATTACACCTGTGAAATATGAAAGCCCTATAGTACTAACGGTTAAAAAATTATGGCACGATTAAAATTTTTAAAAAGGGGTCGAACTCTAAGGTCAAGGTCAAAATTGCCAAGATTAAAGCTAAGAAATTTGGGCTAAAAAGGTGAAAGTCAAAGGTCAAGAAAACAAGGTCAACTTTGGTAGTACCCGAAGAAAGGTCTTTTCACAAGGAACATACCTGTGAAATATGAAAGTCATGAATTCCCACTCGAAAGTTTAAGGACACGGTTAAGGTTTTAGCGGACAAAC